TCTTACACCCGTATCATTTTTATGCATACGTAATTGGTATAAAACTCGTAGCGAGATGCTACGACCTTAAGGAGCCGAACATAGCGGAATGCCTGTAACTTTCCTCATTAAAAAGCTATAAAATTAAAAAGAACTTTTTCAAATAAAAATGTTATTATAACTCTGAAAGTTGTGTGTGCATATTATAAGTAACTAGCGGCCCGGCGCGCCTTCAAGCGGGTAGCACTAAAAAAAATTCTGTTAACCCAAACCAAACTTCACAGGATCAACGCTGGGCTACTATGAAGATTGCCTGAAAATTTCATCAAAATCGCTCCAGCCGTTTTGGAGTATATATGGAACATACATACATCGATTTTTATACATAGATAAACTTCACGCTGAAACTGCTGGGCAGATTTGGATGACATTTAGTATTCAGAGGTCTATGATCTAGAGTGACACATAAGGTTCTGTGAAGAAGATAGAGGTGCACATGAGCGAAGCGAGGGTAAATCACTCGTTAGTATTCCGTAATCAACAAGGAACCCTTATAGTTTCTGCATGTCCGTCCGTCCGTCCTTCTGTCCGCAACTTAGCTCAGAGACTCTTAGGTACAATTTCTATTTTCTATATATTCTATTAACTATAAACATTAAACACACTAAAAATAGTCTCTTCAGCTCCATAAAATTAGGTATAGATTTGCGAAAGCACTTAAGTTTAGTAGCTAACAACAGGATCAAATCCATACACACAATTTTTATAATATACCTAATAATTCGGTATTTTACATAAAACTATTTTTTTTATAATTATATATGTTCACTGTAAAGCTTTCGAAATGTCGGAAACGAAAAAGTAAAATAAAACCTGGAAAATGTCCAAAAATATTTATTTAAAGGCCAAATATTCGTGTAAATTTAAGAAAGCTTATTTGAAAAAGCTTTATTTATCACCAATTTTAACTTTTCCTGAACTATATTTGAGAAAACCATTCATATAGAAACAGTTGGTTTTAACTGCGAGCTTCGTAACAAGTTCCTTTAGTTATAATACCTGCTTTACTTTAAAGTTTTCTATCGTTTCTTTGTTTTAATGCACAAAAGTCATAGAAAAGCTTTATAATAAACACTTTTTGCAAGTTATATTTCAAATAAACAATCTAAAATAAGTATTGTGTGCTTTTAAAATATAATACCACAAAAAATACTATATTTTATACTAAGCAACATTTATAAAATTTTCTTTAGGTATTCGAACTTACATAATATATAGTTTCTATGACGATATCACTTCACTTTTTGCACCCACTATACATCATCCTAGCCACGGTAATATTATACATAATTACCGTATCCTAGCTATCCTATCACTGCACATAACTAAACTACATGATATTAAACCGGTTTAGTTACAATTGGTCGGGAAACACCCAAATCTATGTTTGAATGGCGATGATACTACGACAATCTGTTAATTATTATTATTACTAGTGGTCGAAATTCCATAATAATCATTATTAAAAACTAGCGAAAAAAATATTGCTTAAATATTCATATACAGTTATATTTTTCTTATATAGATAGGTAAATTCTATTCATAGAATTTACCTATCTATATAAGAAAAATATAACTGTCTGTTTTCAATTTTTATTTAGACTAAAGCTCTTCAATAGCTACTAAACAAAAATAAAAAAATCGTTTGACAAACAGAGGGAATAAAATTACTTTAATACATAATACACAATCATTTTGTACAAAACAATAAGTTTAAAACTACTTATTCCACCTTTACGGTTAGATTTCTTTCTTAAATTATTTCCCATCTTGATCTATTACCAAAAAAATAAAAAAGTTTCATGAAAATCAGTTTATGATTGCTGAAATATACATACACAAAAACATACCCCCTTTTAACAAAGTCGATCATAAAATGGATACCAAGAGTACAGACAGTTATTGACGCAATATTAACAATAAATAGCGTATAAAATCAAACGCTACAAAGGAATTTTACACACAAAATTACTGCTTAAATATTCCGCTCATGCCGTAATACTTTTCTTTGTAAGCTTTTCCGAGTTGATCGACAAAGCTTTTTCGTTAAAGATTATTTAACACGTTTTTTACTGATCGTATTTGTCTCAAGCTCAAGGTAAGAATTAAATTGTATTTAGATGGCAAAATATCCTAATATTACATTATATTATAAATGTATACAATGCAGTGGTAGCCCAATGGCAGCGCTTTCGCTTGGGAAACCAAAGCGGGTTCAAATCCCGGGTCTCGCTCCTTTGATATTTTTATGTGTGAGTCATTTTCAATATGACCTACCACTTGCCTTACAGTGAAGGTCAACATGGTGAGAAAACCTGCATGTCTGATAAAAGCTAGCTAATTTTCGAAAGACATCCTCCAACCCGCACTTGGCCAGCGTGGTGGACTAAAGCCTCCTCCTTATCTTGAAGGGAGATCCGTGCCCAACAGTGGGATATTAAAAATGGCTAAATACATATATATACAATAAACAAATGTCAAAATGTGTGTTTATTACCTTATAAATTCAAAAGCGATATATTATGTAATATTTAAGTTCGATTTCTTAAGTTATTCCTTGAGCCAACATTTCATAAGTTGGGGCACGAACCAGTTTTGATCCAGCAGATGCCTAATACTCAAGTTCATTATAATCGCTTCATTGTAAGGCATTTTTCAGGACTATTTTTAATTAAGAAATAGAGAAAACTTTTTAGTTAAAAAATTATTATTTTTATTTTTCCTCCATTTCTATTTTAATATATTGCACTTTATAGTTATACTCGTAGGAAAACAAATTATAGGTGTACGAAATAAATAAGACGGAACTATTTAAGTATTCTAAACCCGTTGGTCTTTTGGACTATTTATTTAAAAATTAACCATATATAACACACGTATTTAACCATATATAACATTTTTAACAAACCAAATGAGCTCAAACCCAATCAATGGCTTTTAGAAAAAAAAATCACCTCCTGACTCCTTCATCAGAACAGCATGACTGTGTCAATATATCTTGTGTCAATATATATTGTCATCCGGATTAGTAAAAATCATCTATCAAGATTTGATTACGTAGTTATACTTTCACACGTTGCGGTGTACAGAAACGGTTTTTTTATATAGTTTTCAGTAATCTATGCAAATATATGTTTGTGAAAAAAAACCGATTGGTTTATTCGAAAGCCATATGCACAAACCGATTCGGTAAAACCGTATACGTGCAATTACAAGTGAAGCTAATAAGAGAGTATCAAGAATGAATACAATAATATAATACATACTTAAGCAAAATGATACATTTTTAAATCTTACTGATACATCCATCCTATTTTTATTAAGGACTCATAACACTATACTGAGTGTACATCGATAGAAATTTACACCGAATACTACATATATTGGTAAGAAAATTAATAAATTTGATTTCAATTGGCTTTTTTAGAATTGGCTTTGAATTTCAAATAACTTTGAAATTTAAAAAATGACATTGGTTGTACTAATTTCAGTGATTCCATATAAAACGTAGTCACTCGTTTGCTTATAGAAGTAAATAAAATCGCAGCTTTAAAGAACTGTTTATATTGTCTAAATAAAAGAAAAAACTATAAAAATGTGCTTTTAATTATTTTTTATTATTATTTACGATTTAATACCATAACGTTTGACTCGTCAATTTAATCGATTAATTAATAAATACTTAAATTAATAAATCGGTTAGAAATAAAATCTATTTAAAAACCAATCGCTTAACATATAAAAATAAAAGTAAAAATATAATATCTTAAATATTTTACGTTTAACTCAATGATATGTGATACATTAATATATAAAATATATAAAACCATCACTAACCGTATAAAAAAAATAAATCAATTTGATAGACTGTAAAATTATTATCCATATAAACAAGTTTTATAAATAATAATAAATAATTTAAAATTAATAATTAATTTAATTTAGTTTTTTAATTTTAATATATTAATAATTCTTTTTCTCCTTGCCCTCTCCAAGAAACTTAGGAAGTGGGCAGGGAGAAGAAAAAAATAAATAATAATTTAAAATATTTAAATTAATAAAAATATTTTAACGCAATATAAATGGAAAGCAGTATTTCAGAAAGTATATTAACATCAGCAGTATATTAGAAATTTTAATCTATTTAATTTTGAACGTTTAAATAATGAAACTTCTTATGTAATAAGGAAAAGCACTTACTCTTGCTTCAACTTTTATCCTCAGCTCGATTTCATATTAATTAATTAAAATGAAAAATTGTACAACACAAAGAATATTTTAGAATACGAGAAAAATGCTCGTACTTAAAATATGATAATGCAATCAAAATTGGTTTAGTCTTAAAGAGGATTATTGAAAAAATTTACAAATATCATTCCCTAACAAATCTTTGCAAAAAGTGGCATCGACATGTGACGTTAAGTCAAACGAAAGAATTAAATTCAAAATTCGAAAGTTCCAAATGTCTAAACATAAATTCGAACTTACGCACACCACATAAAGTACTTTTTTAAACGAAGCAACGTACGTTTTAATTTTGTCTTGAGACTTGAAAAGCGCAATTCAATTTCAAATTGTGCACTTTTTTGATGAAACTTTTGAGACGCTAATTGTATATCTTGAATTATTGTATACCAATGATAGCTGATATAGAAATACTTTTAGGTTATGCTTATGCTTACGCTTGTGCTTGACAAGGATCTTGTCAGATATCATCTAATTTGCAACAAAAAAATAATTAAATTTGATTAGAACAAGATTTTCTAGTAATAATGCAGTGTAAGTGCTATTCCTTTGCTTCAAATAAAATTAAATATCTATTAGAAAGTGTATGAAGACAATTATTGTCCCATATAACTGTAGAAATTGTCTAAAACAAGTAATATTTGTCCGTATTCTCAACAATAACCACTAACCCTCACATCAAATCAAAGAGAGACTAAAACTGCTATAATTTTCAGGTTATTCGAAGAAAATCAAGATCTACTAAATATGTTTGAGAAATTTCGTCAGTACAAGACTAAAGAGGAACAGATCAACTCTATGGAGTTAGCAGAACATGCGAACAACGTAATGAACACTTTAGACGAAGGTATTAAAGGATTGGACGACTTAGACAATTTCTTCGAGTACATACATCAAGTTGGTGCAAGTCATAGGCGGATACCGGGCTTTAAAGTAGAATATTTTTGGGTAAGTTTGATAATAATATATGTATGTATATCATTCATAATCGCCTTTTAAAAACCTACATTTTAATATCCCACTCAATATACAACATACCCTATAACACTCGAGTTATAGATATATCAAGAAGAAACTACCGACGTATTTGCTAAAATCGGTTAAACTGTTTACTAAATACGACGGAACACGATCAAACACACATGCATAGAGGTTTACGGAAAGGTGGATTTGTGTTCGACCGGTATGTTTGTATGTCTACCAATCCCTCAGCAAGCCCTCTCCCTCATGAAATATGTACATATATTACATACATAGATATGTATGTCTATGACTGCATATTATGATATTCCTTCAACTTTTTTTTCATCTTTTTAGATCACTTTTTCCGCAGTGGGGTTTTTTATTTTCATAATAATTATTTTTTTGCTAAAAGTAATTATAATGCTTTTACGTCTCCCTGCGTGCAAACTTTTAAGCTGCCGAGTGAGCTTGTTGACGGTGCAATGGTTAGAAAAGCTTGACCCGTACATCTGTCAGCGCCGCTAACCACAAACTATATCACTTTGTGTAACAGAATAACTGATTTTTACGTAAAGTCATTTTGTTTTCTTATTTCCTTTAATTTTTAACCAAAATTTGATGTTTACGAGATATATTTGCATTTGACTATGAGTCAATTAAAAAATAATCATTTTTATTAAAAATATTTTATTAAGACTATTAGAAAATTATATAACAGATTATTGAAAATTTAAGCTAAAGAAAGAAAATTAAATTATTTATTCTAAGAGCGTTAATTCTATTTAATTAAAGACGATTTACAATAAACAATTTAAAGTTCAAGGAGCTTACTACGTGACACACAGACTTTCTTTAACAGTATTCTATCCATACAAACTTTTTAAAGCTAAGTTTATCATTACTTTCAGTGAAACCATTGTTACTTAATGGAATTCGTTACTGTTTCATTATTACCTACAACTTAACATTGCCTGAAAGAAATCGCAGCTTAAGCGAAATGGAAGTAATCTATATTAATATTTATACATAATATTATAAAGCGATATAGTTTGTGAGTTTGTGACGATCTAGGGGTTATCTCTGTATCTACTGCACCGATTTAGATGAAATTTGGTAAGAAGATAGTTTGAGACCCTGGGAAGGACATGAGATAGTTTTATCCCGGAAATCATCCTTTAAGAGGGTGAAAATGGGGAACAAAGTTTGTATGGGGAATCAAGCTAGGGACGAACCCGAGCGAAGCGAGGGTGAGTCGCTAGTGCTATATAAATTATCTAACTTTACTATATGTATTTCTTCTTTTATTTAGGTGTACAATGAAGAAGTTAATCATTATTATTATTCTACAATATATGTAAAAAAAGATTTGAAAAAATATTTTTTAGTCCTATTGAGTTTCTTTCGCCAGTTATTCTCAAGACGAATGCTTTTCTTTAGTCGTATTAGATGTTTAGTCGTATTAGTGTGCTATCAGTAAAAAAATTGAATTTAAAAATTACTTAACTTGATTACTTAACATGAACGGGACAGCTAATAGACATGATTTTTTGCCTAAAGATAAGATATAGATTATTTAACAAAAAGAAAATATTGTTCTCATAAAATAAATAAGTTTATTTTCCAGTTCAATATTAACTAAATTAATTTGCTTATAATCTAATGTTATAGCAAAATTTTATACAACATTTACTTCTAAATCGAATCAGGATTGATTTCATCAACAGTTACCCCCAAAAAGGTCCAGAATATATAAAATATGACCTTTACATTCAGAAATCTAATACCGATATCAATTTCTTTCTAACATATTACTTTGTGATGGATTTTCAAGATCGTTCAATCTATTTCTAACATTAGAAGAGATTTTCACAGCAATTTTCTTATTTAAAGTGGGAATACACGAACAATTTGAGTTGATAATTTTTTTTTTATTGGATTATGAAATTAATTTTGCACAAGACTAATAGACATAAAAATTAAAACTAATAGACATAAAATACATAATTTCTGTATGATAAGTGAAGAAGTGAAACTTTTTGTTTCATGTGTTTATTTTTGTGCATTTTTTGCACAATTCAAAATTGAATTGAGCTTTTTTTAAATCCCTTTTGTTCATTGCTTTTTGAATGACAAAATTACAACGCACGTTGTTTTGTTTAAAAAAGTAGTATATGTGGTGTGCGTAAGTTCGAATTTGTGTTTAGACAATTAGAACTTTCAATTCTTGTATTTACTTCTTTGGTTCGACTTAACGTCACATTTCGAAGCCACTTTTTGAAGAGATATTTCTTAGGAAATGTGTCTATGTTCTTATATATCAATGCCAAAAACGATTTTTCTAACATATAAATATATTTATGTATCTATGTTTTTATATATCAATGATCCTACACATACAACATATAAATGCCCAACATATAAATATATTATATTTTGTTACAGAAAATTGAAACGCCTTTCCTCGCTGCAGTAGAATCTACCTTAGGCGACCGATACACACCGAACGTGGAAAATATTTATAAAATAACTATAAAATTCATCCTGCAGACCTTAGTAGATGGATATGAGAAAGCCGCTAAACAGAATTCTACGTGAGCTGGTTGGATTTGTTTGAATATTTTTATTCTGATACAATTTGTATTCAAAAGAAATATACACGAAGTGGAATAATAATATGGCTGTATTGAAGTCAACTTTTGAACGAGAAATGTGAGAATATTCAAAAACTTCTTTTTGTTAATAAGTTATGTTAGACAAACATACATTTGAAAAATTTTACTTTCTAATATTAAAAATTATGTTACATGATAATATTATCGCACAAAATGCAAGATGAAGTTAAGAACGTAAGGCCAAATATTTAAATATGTACATAATTTGAATGTTCTATTAACCGACTTTTTGACAATGGTGTAGTGATTCGACTGTTTTTTGTCTGTGTGTATGTTACGCGATATATTTGCAAGTTGAAATTTCATAGTGCTTTTTTAATGTACATATAATATATGTCTTATGCCATAATGGTGAATCCATATGAATTTCATATTAATTCGATCTCGGTGTACCTTTTCTATTAATTTTTCTTATAGTAAACTGTTATGTAATACATATACTGTACTTATAATATTATAAGAAAATATCGATCAAAAAAGTACTAGATACACAATCAGCGACAAAAAAATTTCTCACCGAATGAGCGCTCATTTGAACATTTGAGCGCGCTTTTAATTTAATTAATTTTTTTGTGAATACAACTTTAAGCATTGCATTTAAGGTTCAATTTACATTGTCGTATATTTATTTCAACTAGAATAATTACTAAACACAATTGGTGACACTTATATGAGAACTTTTGTATGAGATTGTGTATCTATTACTTTTTTGATCGATGATGAAGAAACTTTGATGAAGAAACAAGATTTTTAAATAATTTTCTGAACTCATAAACATTTTTTTTAATACAACAAATCAATTTACATTAAATATTCAGTTATTTAAACTTTTAAAAATATTAAAGTAATAATTAAAAACGCTTATACATACCATGTTATATGGGTATGCCTGATTTGTAAAATGAATGTATGTTGCCTAATAACTTATAGAAAATATTAAAATCCATTCTTTTTGAATACAAATCAAGACTGACATAATTATTTTGTCGTGTCGAAAAAAATATCCTATGGATTATATAAATGTCAATTTGAAATTTTGAAAAGAAATAAAAAACTTTTACAATATATATATTCAGTTACACTAAAGTAGTATATTTTTAATAGCAAACTAGAGACTAAAGGCAGTGTCATATTGTACCAATATTTCGTCGCCTCTTTTTAACCGATTTCAAAGAAAAAGCTTCTCAATTTGACGTTTCTGTGTAAACATATTACGTCATAAGCCTACAGCTTATATAAATCGATGTTTTTTTTATTAAATAGACAGTTAAAAACTTTCCATAGTCCATTTTAATTTAAAATGTAACTCTCGAACTATTTTTTTTTAATTAAGTTAACTTAAGACGACGAAACTTGGACAATTTGTCGCTGACATGACGTGTTTAACAGTTTATATTTCAAGTTCTAGTATTAAGTATATATGTATGTATGTATGTATGTATTGTAATTATCATTTATCTCGGTCATTTTGTGTAGTAAAATAAAAATTACGTCAATAACGATGTTTTCATTGTAAATAGTATCTAAAGTCAATATCAATCAAGTGTTACTTGGGGTTTACTCAGGACACAACAAACAGGTTTGAAAACTACGCAATGTGACCGCTGCTTCAGTAATAAAATTGTACTATATATAGTACATTACGCTTTTAATTTCACACCTCCATGTAAATTTCTAAGAAATTAATTAAATTTCTAGGAAATTAATTAAATTTCTAAGAAATCTATTGTTAACTGTAACGCCGGCGTGTCCGCGGTCGTGATAGATTGTAGTAAATTTATCACATTGTAAATTTTCTTTTAATTTTTATTATGTTAATTTAAAGTTGACTGTACTTTATCTTAACATCTATTACTTGAATTCATACTTTAATTTATTTGTTTTCTGTTCATAATTTCATTTAATATCCATTTTCTTAGAATACTCTCGTGATTTCGAAGAATAAATTTTATGAAGAAAATTTGCACTATGAATAAATTAAGTAAATATAGATACTAAAATAGATGTGTGTTCATTTAAAAATCACGGAAACTGTTAAAATTATATCTAACGTTTGTAATACTCAGTTATATTAAAAAGTACGAAATTAATTATAATATATATTAAATTACATATATCTATAGAAAATGACATAAATAACATTAAAAATCAAAATTCGAATATATTTAACGCCATCTATTGTATTTTTTTTCATATGTTTTCTTCCTCCTGATCAGACACCATACAGATAGAGAGAGATAATATACTTAACTATTTTTATAATACAAATATGAAAAAAGTAGGTCAGTATCTGGGACACACGGTAGGAATGAAGTTTCTTTCTCTATCTGCCCTTGACTCATAATTTAGGTCTTAAAAATTGTATCACTACATAGTATAAAACAAAGTCGCTTTCTCTGTCCCTATATCCCTATGTATGTTTAAATCTTTAAAACTACGCTACGGATTTTGATGCGGTTTTTTTAATAGATAGAGTAATTGAAGAGAAAGGTTTATATGTATAATACATGCATATTATAGTACGGAAAAGCCGAGAAATTCAAAGATTTGTATTTCATACTAACCGTCAAAACGTACCTAGGGACGAACTCGAGCGAAGCGAGGATGAGTCGCTAGTTTTATCATAAACATCAAACAACGTACATTTTTGAATCTCATTGAAACAAGGCTTTAATTTATATGCAGATTTATGTACTACCCTGACGTTTCATTTCATTGAATAGTTTACATAAACATTTGGCTGCCAATTACAAATTCGATACGTTGATTCAAATTTGAAGTCGTAAACATTTGTATGTCAATCCCATACATTGATTACTCTATTCTACTAGCGTATAAGCCTGTCTAGGCCTTCTGCACAGAGTACACACAAATTTCTTACCACAAACTTTTTTTACCATGGATCACAAACTTCAAAAAAAATCTCTTCATATACCTACAAATGGCCTCATCTGAGTGCATACGACTAACTTAACACTAAATGATCGCTTGGTACTTATGATGACGTCACATGGTACTCTAGTAAATAATAACTCCTCCTTTTTGGAAGTCGGTTAAAGTGTCATGGTGGTAAAATTAGTACATTTTTTCCATCTAGCTATCATTCGTCAAGTGTGTTATATGTCTGTACAAGTAAGAAGAAAAATAAGAAGTTATATATATGTACTGTGCTATATAAATACACAAAGCCATATGACTATGTAAATCAAAATTTTAGAACTATATGTCACATTTTAATGTAACTGAGTAAAATGTTATTATTAATAACTTGTATATACCTATTTTGATCTTACTCGATATATTAATTAGTTTTATATTTTCATCTTTCAGATTTAAGATGTGTATAATTCATAACTGCCATGTGATTGTCTTAAAACTAAACTTTTGAATGTAAACTTTAATTTTCTCAAATATTTCTATAAAAAATCAATTATAAATTATATATAAAACATCTCATTTTAGATGAAATTAAAAAACCCATAACTGTATGCCATAACATAGATGAATAAATATTTATAATATGTAATGAATAGTAACTTCTGTAAAGTCTGATTCTATAAAACCAATTTATAAACAAAATATATCTTCATCGTTTACACTTAAGATGTATGTATGTAAAATAAACGGAATATTTGTCTCTTTCCCGCAAACAGGATTCCTGTTTACGTGACAGAGACAGACTATATTTTTCAGGCACACTTGATCCCTTAGAGGCTTAGACGATGCCTTGAAGTATCTTTTAGTAGACCAACTTTAGATGACATTCTACAATTTCTATCGCTAATAGAAAACTATAAAATGGATAGAAATGATTTACATAGAAAATATTATGCGAGGCAAGAACATGCCATTTAAATACAATGTAGACGCAAATGTACAATGTACATTATAAATAAACAAACAGTGATCACATATAATTTTGTATATTTAACTTGCTAATTGAGTATAGATTACAAATGTATTGAATAGCTTCAATTTAAAAAAAAAAAACAAACAAAGTATTGCGAAGTAAAATGACAAAAAAGATTCTTAGCAAAATGTTTTTTTGGATATACATATAAATAAAAGTATTTTTTATTATAAAGATTATTCCATAACTGAACGAATATACCAAGTTTTCATAAGCATTATTCTTATGATAATATTCCTATTATTCGAAGAGAAAAAGATTCGTCGTACAAAAATACCGATTTCATTTTATATTCTGGACCTTCGTTTGAAGCTTACAACAGATTTATAGATTATAACTTCATAATCTAAATTTATTCGCTTTCAAGAATTGATGTTAAAGGGACTTGGAAAACAGATATATAACAGAAAAAACTTACATACTAGAAGTTTTGCAAACAATAAGTAGAAGTTTCGCGAGCACAAACTGCATTTTGAGGAGCTATTCTACTCATTCTTATCAGATCTTCACCAATTTTTTTGAGACCAACTTAAAGTTACTACTATCTTTCAAATAAAAAAAGAATTATCAAAATCGGATCACGTAACATGGAGATATCCAGTGGCCCCCTTTTTAGAAGAAGTGGCCGTCCAATCGAAAATCCCCGATGACAAAAAAAACTATAAAGTTGTTAAACTTGTATAGCAAGTTTTCTTCAGATCGGTTGTAAAATACGACTTCTAAAGATGTACCAACAAACTGACAAGAGGAAAGCAAATTTTGCCAGACTTGAAGCAAAGACGCTTTGCTTATCGGTCAATCATATAAAGTTCACTTTTAATTATTCTAATTCGATACGAAATAATTTAAATTTAATCCAAATCGTCAAAGCCATTTCCGAGATGTACAAAATATATTTATATACATATATAGAATAATTGCTCGTTTAATGCAATATAAAACCGCGAACATATGTAGTTTTCTATTAACGATATCTAAAATAGAAAATCATTATACTCGTATCTAAGGCT